TGCCGTGGTGACAAGGGACCCGCCTAACATCCGCAATCTGAGGACGCGCCCTGCAGTGGTGACAAGGAACCCACCTAACATCCGCAACCTGAGGACGTGTCATGCAGTGGTGACAGTGGACCCACCTAACATCCGCAACCTGAGGACGCGCCCTGCAGTGGTGACAAGGGACTCACCTAACATCCGCAACATGAGGACGCGCCATGCCGTGGTGACAAGGGACCCGCCTAACATCCGCAACCTGAGGACGCGCCCTGCAGTGGTGACAAGGGGCCCACCTAACATCCGCAACCTGAGGACGCTCCATGCAGTGGTGACAGGGGATCCACCTAACATCCTCAACCTGAGGATGCGCCATGCCGTGGTGACAAGGGACCCGCCTAACATCCGCAACCTGAGGACGCGCCCTGCAGTGGTGACAAGGGACTCACCTAACATCCGCAACATGAGGACGCGCCATGCCGTGGTGACAAGGGACCCGCCTAACATCCGCAACTTGAGGACGCGCCCTGCAGTGGTGACAAGGGACCCACCTAACATCCGCACCCTGAGGACGCGCCCTGCAGTGGTGACAAGGGGCCCACCTAACATCCGCAACCTGAGGACGCTCCATGCAGTGGTGACAGGGGATCCACCTAACATCCTCAACCTGAGGATGCGCCATGCCGTGGTGACAAGGGACCCGCCTAACATCCGCAACCTGAGGACGCCATGCCGTGGTGACAAGGGACCCGCCTAACATCCGCAACCTGAGGACGCTCCATGCCGTGGTGACAAGGGACCCACCTAACATCCGCAACCTGAGGATGCGCCGTGCCGTGGTGACAAGGGACCCACTAAGATAGGATGGGATGGTATGAATTGAATTGATCTGGCTCAGGATACGGACCAGTGGAGGGCTCTTGTGAACGCCGTAATGAACCTTCATGTTCCATAAAATGCTGGGAAATTCTTGAGTAGCTGCAGAATTGGCGGCTACTCAGAAGGGCTCAGCTCCATGAGTAAGTAAGTAAGTAAGTAAGTAAGTAAGTAACCTATTTAATTTGTTGACATCCACATTCTCAAGAAGGACTCTGTCCTGTGGAGTTGGTATCGCTAGTGTTTCTGTAACTGCAGCTGTGACGTCACGCCCGTCGAAAGATGCAGACATCTGCTGGAAGCTAGACCGCCGTACCGCAACCTGCATGGAATGTACGTACGTCTAGCAGACTTTTGAAAGGAGGCCAGACCGCGTGACCTGCAGAGAGTTACTCGCCTCTCTTTAATCTCTGCTGGAAATTTATTAATACCCACTTTTGTCCAGTCATATTCCAGTCCCAGTAAAAGGTAACATTGTCCCTGTGCTTAACTAAATAAGCATTACTCCATGAAGGTGTATGTGGGAGTGGATGTATAGATCCATATTTTCTTGACCTTGGCACTAGCTGGAGGTGAGTGGTTAGCTTCATAACCCGGCCGCTTTACCCCCTGGGAAAGAGCCCCCGGTACCCATTGGATAGGAGGTTGGGTGGACCCCAGAGCCGGTCTGGACGACGTGGAGAGATCAAAATTCTTGACCCTACCGGGACTCGAACTACAACCCATCGGTCGTCCAGCCTGAAGCCAGTCTCAATACAGAGAACGCTATACCGACCCTCAGCTAAGACGTCGTGTTGCGTTTCGACGACATCCATGAGCCGACTATCTAGAAAATGTGGAGGCCTCGACGTCTCACAGACTTATGGGCCTCCGCGGTCTCTTACAGGAATAGATTTAGTTTATTACTTTGGATCTGGAGTTCTCAGTGCCGCGACTGCAAAGAGTAAGATCTTCTGGGGACGTGAGGTGAGAATTATTCTTAACCTCGGCGCTGGATGGAAGTGAGTGAGAAGCTGCACGCCCCAGCCGCTTTGCCCAATCGGAAATAAGCCCCATTATTCGTTGTATGGAGGCTGATTGGGCCCCAGTCCTGTCTGCGCACTGTGACGAAAAGAAAAATTCTCCTACATTTCCTCAGAAGCAGGTCCTCCTCTGTCCAAACGGCAGCCTACCTGCTTTACCGACTGAGCTCTCCTCGCCACCTGCCGCTTACTGATTGTGATTACTTCTTTGACTTATTCTTCGACCCTGAAAATGGAGGCAGTATGTTCCTTCGAAACGTTGATGAACTTAAACCGGGATACAGGGTGTAATATCCCAGAAGATGACAATGTTTTGGTCGAAGTTGTGAGGACTTCTAGATCATAATACACGTTTCAAGCTGACAGGACGAAGATCCTTCTCTTGTCTGCAGGACAAGGGCACGTGGTGACGCATCCGACTTGTATTCGGGTGGGGGGTGGGGGGGCGTGCCGCAGCTAAGGTGGTTAGTCGCCGGCTGCCCGGGCTCGAGCCCAGTTCAGATCATTTGTGATTTGTGGTGGACAAAGTGGGAGTGAAGCAGGTTTTTGTCCGAATATTTCGGTTTCCCCTGCCAATTCTCATTCCGTTTATTGTTCCACAATCACCGTCACCTATCATCCGGGGCCGGTACAATAGGCCAGTTAGTGGCCGACATAACAAGTAGACTCACCCCACCCCAAGAACCTAAAAAGTAAATAATTGTATTTGGGGTGAGGTTCAGGTTTTTTGTGGTTCTCTTCGATCCCTAAGCGTGAATTCTGGGGTAGTTCTTTTATTTATATGTTTCATCCCCCCTTTAGGGACCATCGCCTCAAACTTGGGCTCTCAATGTCCAGTCTCATCAGTCATGTCCCCATATATTTTGCCGTTAAGGTTTCTGCCCTGAATATGGAGGCAGCAGATTCCTCAGCAACATGTCACAGTCTTGCTTATAGCGATATGAAGGCAAACTGATAATATTTGCAGGCAGAGAATGTGTTTACTTATATAATCTAACCTACTTCTTTCTGCATCCATATGTGGGCCAAGTAACCCGCGTTCACGCTTACATGTCACAACAATTCTAATGCCTATATAAAAGTGAGATGGCCTTGGATTGGCCAAGTGAACAAGTTGATGGCCTTACTCAGGCTGCAAGAGAGGGAAGTGGCAGGCCCCAGCTTTCGGTCTCAGAACCGCTCGTATATAAGAGGACAGGCGACTTTCAGTTGTCATCAGTTCTGTAACCCATAGCGACCAACACAGCAACATGTGGTTTCTGGTAAGCCAGTTCTTTCACACCCGGTTTGTTGTTCCATTATTCGGTGGGTTTATTTTAAATTATTTTTTATTATAATGACCGCCTCTGTGAAGTAGTGGGTCTGGAACGGGGTCCACTCAGCCTCGTGAGGATAAATGAGGAGTTATTTCAAGGAAATAGCGGCTCCGGTCTAGAAAACCGAGATTAACGGCCGTGGGGATCCGTTGCGCTGACCACGCGACACCCTCTATCCGCAAAAATTGGCACTAACTTGCCGACAAGCGGCGGTTACTCGGTCGGTATAGTTCGCTTGCGGACTACAGGCCACGGATTTTTATTATAGTATCTCTTTGTACAATAAAATTGTGAAGCCGGAGTAGGTCAGTCAGCATAACGGAGGGATACGATCTGGACAGTCGGGGTTCGATCGGCTCTGGGGTCCGTCCAGCCTCCTCTCCAATGGGTAACGGGTGACTATTCTTCTGGGAGTAAAACGGCAGGGGCGTGAAGCTGTCTACTGTCCTCTGTCTAGTGCCGAGATTAGAAACGGTGGAGCTATATCTCCAATCCCAACGCGTCTTAGTGAAGCGGTGTTTAATTAATTAACCGCAAGTGCAACATTTCCTTTACAGTAAAATCTTAACGTTGCTGCGTGAGACTCTCGTAACACAGCGCCCCTATAGGATGCAGCTGGCTGGTTGCTTATTTAACGACGCTGTCAGTGACGAGGCTGTATGAACTGTGAACTGCAGAAGATGGCCTAATTGGGTTGCTATCCCGACATTTGAATTGAGAGACTGAAGGAAATCACAATAACATTAGTCAGGATAACCGTTGTCAGGGTTGAGATTCGAACTCAGCAATGAGTGTATAGCATTGCCACTGCACGAGTCTCTTCGGCGCCCTGGTTGCAGATAGTACCAATTCATCCGGTAGATGCCTCTGCCAGCAGTAGTCTCTCTGTCGTCAGCTGTCGTCTTCATGAAGAAAGCTTATTTTGAAGAGCTTCTTAAAACCTACGTTTTTTATTCCTTTGTTGTTCGTTTTTGAATATGCGGAACCCGTAGTAACATCCATTTATTCGTTCTTTCTTAATGAAAGATGAGATTGGCAGGACATGTAGCAAATTTGAGAGCGAAATTATTGTCCAGAAAGCCTGGAAGTAACATCTTGGAATGCTTGAGTAGAGATAATATTAAAATGATTCTTAAAGAAGTTGGATAGAAATTTGCAGAGTGGATTCATCTGGCTCTGTATAGGGAGCAGTGGCAGGCTCTTGTGAACACAGCAATGAACCATTGGGTTCCATAAAATGTGGAGAATTTCTTGAATAGCTGAGCAACAATTAGCTTCTCAGAGAGAGTTATCCTGAATGGATTTATTTGCTTAAAATTTTGAATTGATTTATGATAATGTGTTTTATTATATGCCTGTACGTCTGATGTAGTCGTGTTTGTCCGTCTGTATGTATCATCTCCAAAAACAATAATCTAGTTCTGATAAAATAAGGTTCTGGTAAGTACAGGTAATTCCTTTTGGTCTGTATCGTACAACAAACAGTACTTTACATCAAAACCAAATTTAATTTCATGGGCAGATTTTAACGTTCACACTGTCATGAATATCAAGATTGTCTTCTGAGATGTAACGCGCTGTACTCTGATAGATGCAGACCGACGTTTCGGAGAGACTATTGTTCCAAACTATATGCAGTCACATACCTGTGGACCTGTAGTTTTTAATTTTACAGATTTTTAGAAATTTTTCTGTCACAGCAGAGTCTAAGAAGATTTTTTTCTGCTGAGATGTGATGCCGTGCAGTCCGGTAGTTCACTGGTATCACGGACAAATTAATTACCACTGCCATCAGAGCCAAAACATGAGCCAAGTGAGTAATCGGCAAAGTGAAACTAGCCAGACTGAGACCCCAAACCTGAAGGCAGAACGTTCCTCCGAAACGTCTGTGAACTACCGGGCTACACGGTCCACATCCCAGAAGAGATGACTCTTAAAAAGGTATTTGCAAAACCAGCACAGTATCTTGTTCAGAAGATAAATCGTCATTTAATTCCATACAAAATATTCCTTATCAAATTTCTTGTAGTGCAACTGAATTACCTATGAAATATGTCTCCCGTGGTTCTTAAATAATATAAAAACCATCCATTCTAGCTAGAGGCTTATATAAGGCCCTCTGCAATTGGACGTACTTCCATTCACTTGCCTACATAACAGCTTCCATCAGACTCAAAAGGGTCAAATATTTTCAGTGACTTGATTATGTAATATAAGACTCATATCCCATTTGACAGTAATCTCCATTTAGGCGCTACATTTGTTGTCCGTATAGCGACTGGATGCTGGCTAGGCGGTCGAGAGTTCATAGTTCGAGTCCCGGTTATGACAAGATCTTTTTTTCCTGTCCAAGTCGTCCTCGCCGGTTCTAGGGACCACACAGGGTACTGTAGACTTTTTCGCCCCCGAGGGTAAAGCAGCCGGGGAGTGAAACTGACCAGCCTAGTGTCGAGGTCAAGAAGACGTGGATCTAAACTTCCACTCCAACATATGTGTATGTAGCGTAGTGCTTTACCCTCTCTAAGATCTGCAGTTGATAAGTGTGATCTGATTCACAGGTTTTCCTGCTGGCCTTGACGGCGGCCACCGTGATCGCCGCTCCTCAGTTCGATGAAGACTTTGGTTCTTCGTGGCACGAGAGCCATGGTCAGGCCGAGAGCTACTCCCAGACGAGCTTTGGGAGCCCCCACAAGAAGGTCAAGACAGTGGTCATCAACAAAGAAGTGAAGGTCCCAGTTGAGAAGCCCTACCCTGTGACAGTAGAGAAGAAGGTTCCTTACCCTGTTAAGGTTCCAGTGGAAGTCAAAGTTGAGAAGCCTTACCCCGTCGAAGTAGTGAAACCTTACCCTGTATACGTCGAGAAAAAAATCCCATACCCTGTAGAGAAAACGGTACCTTATCCTGTGAAAGTCCCTTACAAGGTCCCTGTCCCTTACAAGGTTCCTGTCCCTGTGGAGAAGCCATACCCCGTGCCCGTCGAAGTTCCTCATCCCGTCCCTCACCCCTACATTGTTGAGAAGAAAACTCCAGTGTTCCTGAAGAAGGGACAGGAGTCTGATGCCGAAAGTTACAGCAGTTTCAGTGATTGAGCTCCTGTTCTGTAGGTTGAAATCCATCGCACCGCACACATCACGTGACTATCAACTTATTTATTATACCATACTGCCTGCATATAAATAAAACGTAGTGAGGAGAAACCGTTGTTTTGGGCACTAATTCCCTTGATCACTGCGCTGTCCAAGTTACTGACATTCCTCGTTCAAATCGCCTCTCCGACATATCCAACCTCCTGTTTACACCCTACAGGTAGGTAGAACGAAATCACTCATAACTCCATGGCCTGTAGTCCGCAAGCGAACTATACCGATCGAGCGACCGCCGCTTGTCGGCGAAGTTAGTACCAACTTTAGCGGATAGAGGGTGTCGCGTGGTCAATGTAACGAATCCCCACGGTCGTTAATTTCGGTTTTCTAGACCGGAGCCGCTATTTCCTTGAAATAGTTCCTCAATTATCCTCACGAGGCTGAGTGGACCCCTTTCTGGACCCACTACTTCTCAGAAAATCTGGTAGCGTCGGGAATGGAACCCGGGACCTCTGGATCTGTAGCCATGAAGAGACGATCAAAATGTTTAGTCTCTGTTGGCTGTGACTGTACTCTCCCAGCATTTAAGTCTATAATTTTACCCGCGGGAGGAATGATGCTTCCCGCCTTCCCTATAGTTGCTGAGTTTGATTGCAGTGGAACAATGAAAGGTCGTCATTTTGAACAAAAGAATCCCGTTTTATGGTACGGTATTTTGAAGAATAGAAATCATAAAGAGTGGCATTGCCAGTGGCAGTACGGGGGGGGGGATGTAGTCTGAATGGGGTGCTAGAGGGGAAAGGGGGTTGGGAAGAGTGTGGATTACACATGAAGACGTTTCAAAGAGAGATAATTACAATGCTACCATATTTCTTATTTCAGCAAGAAGCAAAGAATGGGATGCTGTATAGCAAGAAAAGAATGGTGTACTCCACTTTGGAGTACACATCAATAAATCAGTGACCCACCAGCCATTTTGTCAAAATAACGCCGTTCTATTATAATACAAGAAGTTCTGGGAAGAACAAATCAGTCGGTCGGATAAATTGCTGGTGGTCCTCGCCAGCCAGTCAATGTCGGTTTCGTGTCCTGTCGAGGCCTATTACCATATTTTTGTTCCTTCGAGGACTTCTACATATTGAGAGTATGTGTTACTGCACGGGCCACATAGAAAACACGCGTCCAACAATTCTGTTATTGAGTGTGTATTCGTTACCGCGAGAACGTGTTTACCGAATCGTTGACAAGCAGCGGCTTTAGGAGAGACACACAGACAGCAAAATGATCTCATAAGCTTAATTTTACTTCTTCAAAATAAGGAAAATATGCTCAAGCCGAATTAATTTTTAATGAGTTATTTTATTACGTTCTGGGCGTCTAAACTTTATATCATTAAATGTGAGCATGATAGCGAACGATGAATTTGTAAAGATTTGGAAGGAAGCGATTGTCGCGTAATCCAGGTATTATATTGACCATTTTCTTGACGAAACTGAAGAAAACTATGAAATATCCTGGGGATAGCCGATGTCGCGCCCTAGATTCGAACAGAGCTCCTGCTCAATACGTCTCCGTAACGTTGTTGTCATGTCAGCCCGCTAGGTAAATAGTAAGAGAAAAGATTTAATTTTTCCATGAAGTGTATTTTTTAAAGTTCCACCCAAGCGGTCATCAGACTCCCAAAATGACACGCGTCCCACTGTTTGAGGAACACGACGCTATACATTTTCAGCTGCGTCACATCCAAGGAGGTAGTACTTTTCATAATCACCGTTGTGACAACCACCAAAACTTCGATGACTTGCCAGGCTTCACGGTATCGCATCCCAGGGAATTTTTCTGTTCATTGTCGCTTTCGTGAGACCCTCAGGTCGGCCAGAGTGTACGTGTCTGCATGACGTCTGCATGGCCCCGCCTACGTCACTCTTACCCATATCTCTTCGTTATAATTCAGGTTTTATTGGCAAAAATAATATTCAGCAAACAAAAAATATGACAAAATATCCCCAAAGTATTGGAAATAACTTTTCCTTTCTGATCCGTATATTTTACCGTCCTCCTACAAGATTACTTGCCATCTGTGGCGTAGTCTGACTTCGTATGTATCTCCCAGCATCTCCCGTCTGAATGCACGCAACCTGCACCCCTCTTCAGCCAGCTCCTCCCATCAGAAAACTGTTTTATAAATGCAGCATTGCCACTTGCGCTACCTTCTGCTATAAGATACAGAAATTTATCACCAACCTTCCCCCTCCCCACACCATACACCTATCGTACCTTGGAAGGAGTGTTAAGGGGGCCTCGGTGGATTGCTTCATATTCACTAAGTGGCCCATTAATATTCCACCCCCTTTTACCTATCCCCCAATTTACCCCGTTCTACCCCAGGTGTAATCATATGGAGTGCAGCATACATCTTCACCTAGATATGCTCTCCCCCCACTCCTATACCTGCAGCCACCCCTCTCCTCTCCCCGCTGTAGCCGCAGTTTCACGGCGTCGCTTCTCCAGGGGGCATCAAAAGTTCATATGCCGACCTTCAGTAACCACCCCTTTATATGGTGCAGGGGCGTAGGAGCTCTGTAAAAATGCAAAACACATGGCGGAGGAAGCGCGTAAAACAATTGTAAACAGAGTTTTTGACAGAATTTGGAATTTTGGGGGAGTTTTGCAAGAATTGCAAGGGACATGCGTTGAAGTAGAGCGAGTTTGTGGTGTTTGAGAAGGCGACGTACAAGCCACATAATTCTGTCTCTCCAACTACCCACCTACCTACCTGTCTGTCTGTCTATCTACCCACCTACCTGTCTCTATATCTATCTACCCACCTACCTGTCTCTATATCTATCTATCTACCTACCTGCCTGTCTGTCTATCTACCCATCTACCTACCTCCCTACCTGTCTGTATATCTATCTACCCACCTACCTACCTACCTGTTTATCTATCTACCTACCTACATGTCTATCTATCTACCCACCTACATGTCTGTCTATCTACCCACTTACCTATCTATCTACCTGTCTATCTATCTACGTACTCATCTACTTACCTATATACCTATCTATCTATCTGTCTCTCTGTCTCTATTTATCCATGGCTCTACAGCTCTCTGTTGGGCCTTGGCCTCTTTTTCTCAGATCCTTAATCCTACACACAGTAGGAAGGACTCCTTGGAGGGGGATCAGTCCGTCGCAAGGCCGCTACCTACACACAGAACAACACAAGCTCGTAATAAACGTACACAAACATCCGTGCCTAGAGTGGGATTAGAAACCACGGTCCCAGTGTTTGAGCGAGCGAAGACATTTCATGCTTTAGACAGCGCGGCCACTGTGATCAGCATAATTCTTTATATGAATGCTGAAAATAAACGTAACTAAACGACAGAAAAAGGAATCATGTTCATTCATTTGGACTGCAGTAGAATACAGAGAATGGGAGAAAGACAATCTTAGGGTCGCTTTGGCATACCTACACAATCACGAAAGAAAGAGAGATGTTGGAAGACCTAGAAGTAGGTGAACAGACTCCTGACCGTCGTCAAGCGGGTCTGTAACACTCAAATGTAAGTGGAATAAAGAAGGAAAGTTGAGAACTTGGTGCGACGTGTGGCACTGGTCCCAGGAGACTGTAAATTACAAGCGCTCAGTATTAGCCTAGTTACGACACATCTGAAATATACAAAGGTCGAGGCCCATAGGGTTGTGAGACGTCGAGGCTCCCACATTTTCTAGACAATCGGCTCACAGACGGCGGTCAGGTTGTCAGCCTTACGCGCGCCGGCCGCCCTTTACGCCCCCAGGAAGATTCCTGGTACTCTTTTCTGTTAGAGGCTGAGTCAACCCCAAGGCCATAGTGCAGCTGGAAGGTTTAGGTTCGTTTCCCGACGAGGACTTCTATACAAATCATATTTAATAAAGAATCAACTTTTTACAAGAAGAATTATGGTCGATGGCGAACTATGTTTTTGACACCGTATCCACTGGAATCGAACTTGGTCTCATCACATCAGATTAATTACAATATTCAGTGGAGGCAAATGTGTGTAGGGGCTGTGTGAGCTGAACTGGATTCGGAAGGGGAGCAGTGAAAATATTGGATTGCAGTCCGGAACGGTTTCCACTGGGTGTTAAAGAAATGACGTTCCGCTGTGAAAAGGAAAACTGGTTCCTTCAGCCGGATAGACTGGGAGGTTAAAATTACAAACATAATCTCAGTTGCATAAATTCGGTATCCGCCTATTAGTCTGTAAACTATAAAGAGAGGGTTTACTTCTGTATCGCACTGAGATTACTGCTAATGATACCCGCTCTTGCGTTAAAACTCAGAATTGCATTTTTTCATATTGTATTTATATTTCGTATTATTTTCAGAGTGGAGGCCACGCGGCAGCGTAGTTGGTTGAGGCAAGAAGCCAATAGCCGGAAGGTCGTGGGTTCTGTTCCCAATGATGTCATTGGATTTTTCAATTGACCTAATCCTTCCAACCCTCTGATCAACTCAGCCTCTAACAGAAATGAGTACCAGCAACCTTTCTGGGAGTAAGAATGCGGGCGGAGCGTAAGGCTGACAGCCTCACCGCCATCTATGAGCCGATTGTCTAGAAAATGTGGGAGCCTCGACGTCTCACAACTCTATGGGCCTCCACGGCCTTTTACAGGGAAAGCTTTACTTTTTCCTATCTCTATGACTCTCAGACTAACAGCGATCATTTTCAGAAACAGCGTTAAACGATTGGTCTTTCTAATATAGATACATATTGATGTAGAACTAAGACATAGAGAGAAAATAAAATTGATATTAGAATGTAGCATGTAGCTAGTAACAATCAGGCGACTAATTACTTCGAAACGTCAGTTGACTGTCAACGGACTACACTATGTTATAGCTCAAAAGATAGAAGAACATCTCACAAGAAGTAAGCAGCAGAATTACCTAATCCGTGGATCAGAGCTCTTCTTGATAAGCCAATAGTCGCTCAGCTAGTCAAGAAATTCTTCGATAGAACCCAAGGTTCAAGAGTGTACTTTACACTTGTTCAGATAAATACAGTCCAGTCTTCACGCTTTTTTCTTTGAGACTTTTATTAACTTTGTCCTC